CCAGCCATGTGTGCTCTCATAGTCAGTGCATCTTTATGTCTTGTATCTCCTTTGGAAACGTTATGTGCCTCAAGAGGACTCTCAACAAACATTAGAGCTAAGCGGCAATCAATTATTGATGCAGCTAAAGTGCTCGAGGAAAGGAATACTAAACACACACAAATTCTTGTCTGGTGTGACTCCAAGTGTTCTCTAGACAACTCAAAGGAATCCACGGGACAACTTGGAGACAGGACTGACTGACCCGTTAGCTATCCACGGGACAACATGGAGACAGGACTGACTGACCCGTTAGCTATCCACGGGACAACATGGAGACAGGACTGACTGACCCGTTAGCTATCCACGGGACAACATGGAGACAGGACTGACTGACCCGTTAGCTGTCCACGGGACAACATGGAGACAGGACTGACTGACCCGTTAGCTGTCCACGGGACAACATGGAGACAGGACTGACTGACCCGTTAGCTATCCACGGGACAACATGGAGACAGGACTGACTGACCCGTTAGCTATCCACGGGACAACATGGAGCCAGGACTGACTGACCCGTTAGCTATCCACGGGACAACATGGAGACAGGACTGACTGACCCGTTAGCTGTCCACGGGACAACATGGAGACAGGACTGACTGACCCGTTAGCTATCCACGGGACAACATGGAGACAGGACTGACTGACCCGTTAGCTATCCACGGGACAACATGGAGACAGGACTGACTGACCCGTTAGCTATCCACGGGACAACATGGAGACAGGACTGACTGACCCGTTAGCTATCCACGGGACAACATGGAGACAGGACTGACTGACCCGTTAGCTGTCCACGGGACAACATGGAGACAGGACTGACTGACCCGTTAGCTGTCCACGGGACAACATGGAGACAGGACTGACTGACCCATTAGCTGTCCACGGGACAACATGGAGATAGGACTGACTGACCCGTTAGCTATCCACGGGACAACATGGAGACAGGACTGACTGACCCGTTAGCTATCCACGGGACAACATGGAGACAGGACTGACTGACCCGTTAGCTATCCACGGGACAACATGGAGACAGGACTGACTGACCCGTTAGCTGTCCACGGGACAACATGGAGACATGACTGACTGACCCGTTAGCTGTCCACGGGACAACTTGGAGACAGGACTGACTGACCCGTTAGCTATCCACGGGACAACATGGAGACAGGACTGACTGACCCGTTAGCTGTCCACGGGACAACATGGAGACAGGACTGACTGACCCGTTAGCTGTCCACGGGACAACATGGAGACAGGACTGACTGACCCGTTAGCTGTCCACGGGACAACATGGAGACAGGACTGACTGACCCGTTAGCTGTCCACGGGACAACATGGAGACAGGACTGACTGACCCGTTAGCTGTGCACGGGACAACATGGAGACAGGACTGACTGACCCGTTAGCTGTCCACGGGACAACATGGAGACAGGACTGACTGACCCGTTAGCTGTCCACGGGACAACATGGAGACAGGACTGACTGACCCGTTAGCTGTCCACGGGACAACATGGAGACAGGACTGACTGACCCGTTAGCTATCCACGGGACAACATGGAGACAGGACTGACTGACCCGTTAGCTATCCACGGGACAACATGGAGACAGGACTGACTGACCCGTTAGCTGTCCACGGGACAACATGGAGACAGGACTGACTGACCCGTTAGCTGTCCACGGGACAACATGGAGACAGGACTGACTGACCCGTTAGCTGTCCACGGGACAACATGGAGACAGGACTGACTGACCCATTAGCTATCCACGGGACAACATGGAGACAGGACTGACTGACCCGTTAGCTAAACAGACTCTGAGAAAACAAAAAATTCTTTCACCAGTGGATCCCGGCTCACTGCGGCATGCAATGAAATGAGTTAGCAGACAGACTTGCAAATAATGGAACAATGGAAAAACAACACACCCCTTTATTGTCATTACCAGAAATCAAAACACTTGAGGGAAAATCTAAGGAATTGTGGAGAGAACAGTTAGTTAGTTAGTTAGTTAGTTAGTTAGTTAGTTAGTTAGTTAGTTAGTTAGTTAGTTAGTTAGTTAGTTAGTTAGTTAGTTAGTTAGTTAGTTAGTTAGTTAGTTAGTTAGTTAGTTAGTTAGTTAGTTAGTTAGTTGGGTTATCCTCATTGCACTCCGGACATGTCCATAGGTGCTCAGATCCTCCCCTCAGTATGAACCCCAACGTCCGATGGCTAATAGTACCAGTTCTATGTTGATTAACAAGTCTTCTGGCGTAGCTGGTGTGTGTCTCGTTTTTTGCTGTGCCGATCTTAATTCCCAAGTCTGCCATTCTGACGAGTGATGTGGATTCACTGCCACCAAAGTCCTCTATTCTTCCCATTTCTCTGAGGGCATTGATAATATCAGCATGATCCATAGGCTGACCGTCGGTAGTGATAGCGGATCCAGCCAACCTGTCAGCTCTTTCATTTTGTGGAGAGAACAAACCAACGGTAAACATGCACAAGACCCCATCAGCAGACTCAACATAAAACAACATACAACAGTTGTCCGTCTACGAACAGGACACTGCAGGCTCAACATGCATAAAATAAAGACTGTACAGTCCCCACAGTGTGCCCACTCTACCTACAACTTCGAAAAGAAACCTTGCCTCAGGAGTAGACTGTGCAGAAACAGTTATGGTTGTCATGCGAGTCCATAGAGGCAGCCCACTTTCGAATAGGTCAACCTCTGCATCGTTTTCCGGAAATTGTACTTCTCTCCAGGTCACTATGATGTGAATCATTCTCAAAATACATCAGCTTTTGGGACAGGATGCTGTCTGTGAGCCAATTCTCAATGCTCAGATCAAGTAGGATGTCGGTTTTTTTTTTTGGGGTGGAGGGGGGATTGGGGGGGGGGGGGGGTCCATGGTATTCCAAGCTTGTGTCTGTAGCATTTCAGTTCGTGTGTGAGTGTGTGTGTGTGCGTGTATTATATATATATATATATATATATATATATATATATATATATATATATATATATATATATATATATATATATATATATATATATATATGCGTGTGTGTGTGTGTGTGTGTGTGTGTTTGTGTGGGTGATATTAGATTAAACAGTTCCGTTCGTCTTTTTCTCCAGCATTCTGAGCCCTTGAGGTTCATTGCTGCAGATATCACCTGCCTCCATTCATCTCTCTGGTTGGCCTTCTCTTTCCAGTTGGTTACACTAAGTGTTTGCAGGTCTATTTGGATATTATCTCTCCATCGTCTTCTTGGTCTGTCTCGTGGTCTACGATCATTCATTTCCCTTGTGTTTACAGTTTTTACCTCTCTGTCATCTGAAATTTTTTCAATATGCCCCAGCCATTTCAGTCTATTAGCTCTCATGATGCCAGTTATCAATGGTGATCTAAACAGATTTTGAATTGTGTTATTGCTTCTCACTCTCTATTTCTCGCTGTTCGCATCTTTGATGGGTCCAAAGATTTGTCGTAATACTGTTTTCGAAAACATGTAATAAGGCTTCATCTCTTTTAGTTGTGCTCCAAGTTTTAAGGCCATATAAAACGACTTGTAATATCAACGTTTTATGTATTTTGATCTTGATGTTGCGAGATAGAGACTTTCACTTTAGCAGATGTTAAAGGGCATAGTATACTTTTTTTCAGATTGTATTTCTTCTCTCCGTATGTTGGAGCAGCGAGAGTTTGCACCCAAGTACTTATATGTTTCCATTCGTTTGGTTTTCATATTATCGACTTGTATATGGCCAGAGTTTATATCCTTTCAAAATCAAGAAGATCTGAAGCACATTGATTCTGACAGTTTTTAAGAGACGCCTAACATCCCCCCCTCTCTCTCTCTCTCTCTCTCTCTCTCTCTCTCTCTCTCTCTCTCTCTCTCTCTCTCTCTCTCTCTCTCTCTCTCTCTCTCTCTCTCTCTCTAGATTTGTCAATTGACCTTCGGGAGTTGCTATGGTGTAGAGGATAGACGGAGCGGGACTTAACAAGTGATCTTGACTTCAAGGTCGACCTAGCCTTAAATGGGTAATACGTAAAGCCTGGAAAGTAAAGGCCGCCGCGTGATGTTAACCACAACACCCACGCAGTCTTAGCTTGCTTTGCTCAACAACAACAAAAATCGTCGCGTTCACCCAGCATCCCTGAAGGAGGAGCTTTAGGTTATAATTGTGACTAGGTTACAAACACCATATAAAATAGCTTAACATTTCACGCCACCAAAGACCTGAAAAGGATTCGTGCAGCGTTGATGAGATCAAAGGAGAGAGTCTCAAAAACTTTATCGGCCAGCCAATGGCCGGTCGCCGATGTCCCACCGAGTGCCGATTGATCTAACAAATATAGGCTCAATACGTCCGAAAGCGCGGAAAAGGGTTCATTTGCAACCTTCATCACATCCACATTTGTAAGAAGGCTAAACTTCCCTCCTCCCAACTTGTATATAAGTTTTCTTTTGAAGTGTTTGTTTATACATATCAAATTGTATCAGATATATTATTATTATTATTATTATTATTATTATAATTATTATTTGCAGCCAGCACATGATTACTATTATTATTATTTTAAATTATTTTAATTATTTTCGTCATCATCATCATCATAATCTTCTTCTTTTTCTTCTCGTCCAGCAGCTGTAAACTGTAGTCTTCTTCCAGAACCTAAGCTTTGCGTGCACATCCGTTTTACATATCTGACTTATCAGGCAGATGCATTCTTACTTCGAAGAAAACACCCTTTATTAGACGACGTTTACGACATGCTTGTGATGGGAATAGTGTTTCTTCCCCCCCCCCCCCCCCCACTGATGCCCGGGAACAGACTTGCATTTACTATAATTATAATTGTGCACTTAAGCAAGGCTTTTAAGAACATTTTTAAAGGATAGAACGCCCTTAACATTTTCTTTATGTGAACGTCACTGCGACCTTTCAACTCTGACCTGTTTTCTTCCCGACAGGCTGAGACCATGATGGAGTTCAAAATGTCCATGGTGCCAGAGTACTTTCACAGCGGAGGCGGCGCCAAGTTGGATGACCCGGTCAAGTCCCTGCCCACTGGCGACTACTCACACATGAAATCATACGGCAGCCATGACCTTGGGGCCACCCGCTCGCAGCAGCATCAGCTCCTCGTGTCGGCTCAGAACCAGGTTGCTGCTGCAGGTGAGGCTTTTGTCGGTCTGTTAATGAGTGTCTGCTCAGTATGTTGTTTGTCTATAAGTGTTTGCTCGATGAGGACCTGCTTGGTCTGTTGACGAGTGCGTAAATTGTCTGTGAGTGTCTGGTCAGTCTGTCTATGAGTGTCTGGCCAGTCTGTCGAAGAGGGCCCTGCTTAGTCTGTTTACGAGTGCGTGGTTAGTCTGTCTATGAGTGTCTGGTTAGTCTGTCTATGAGTGTCTGGTTAGTCTGTCTATGAGTGTCTGATCAGTGTGTTTATTAGTGCACGATCAGTCTATGAGTGTATGGTTAGTCTGTCTATGAGTGTGTGGTTAGTCTGTCTATGAGTGTAGGGTTAGTCTGTCTATGAGTGTAGGGTTAGTCTGTCTATGAATGCTTGCGTAGTCCGCCTGTCAATGTTTGCGTGTTTAGTCGGTTAATGAGTTTCTGGTCAGTCCGTATATGAGTGCCTGGTCAGTCCGTCTTTAAGTGCCTGGTCAGTCCGTCTATAAGTGCCTGGTCAGTCTGTCAATGAGTGCCTGGTCAGTCTGTCAATGAGTTTCTGGTCAGTCCGTATATGAGTGCCTGGTCAGTCCGTCTATAAGTGCCTGGTCAGTCTGTCAATGAGTGCCTGGTCAGTCCGTCTATAAGTGCCTGGTCAGTCTGTCAATGAGTGCCTGGTCAGCCCGTATATGAGTGCCTGGTCAGTCCGTCTATAAGTGCCTGGTCAGTCTGTCAATGAGTGCCTGGTCAGTCCGTCTATAAGTGCCTGGTCAGTCTGTCAATGAGTGCCTGGTCAGCCCGTCTATAAGTGCCTGGTCAGTCCGTCTATAAGGCCCTGGTCAGTCCGTCTATAAGTGCCTGGTCAGTCCGTCTATAAGTGCCTGGTCAGTCCGTCTATAAGTGCCTGGTCAGTCCGTCTATAAGTGCCTGGTCAGTCGGTCTATAAGTGCCTGGTCAGTCCTTCTATAAGTGCCTGGTCTGTCCGTCTAGAAGTGCCTGGTCAGTATGTCTATGAGTGTTTAATTAGTCTGTCTATTACCTGGTAGGTTGCGGGGCTCTATTTCAGAGGGAAAAAAGAGTAGACCCCCTGACTATCCAATAAGCATGTCCTAAAAGGCGACCAAAAGGGGTGCTTCCTTCGAAGTCGGAGTGCATCAGCCTAAGAGGCGAGGAACCAACAGTCTGTATACAAATAAACCAGATCTGTAAAAACAGGTGTGCACGCAAAACTCAAGTTTTGGAACACGACTAAAGTCCTGAAGTGGCCGAACAACAAGAATTTTCTGTCGAAGTTTACAGCCTGTAAGCGGAAAGAAGAAAATGTCTATGAGCGCATGGTCACTCTGGCGATTAATGCCTGGTCAATCTATAAGTGCGCGGTCAGTCTGCGATGAATGCGGGGTCAGTCTAACAGTGCATGGTCAGTCTTTCCATGCTTTCATGGTCAGTCTATCATTTTTCATGGTTTATACAACAGATCAATATCATGGTACAAGAGTAGTAACCCATCAGTGCCCCATTCTACTTCGAACTCAAGCCTGAGTCTAAAGAATCTAAGCACAGTGCACGAACTCCGTAGCACCGGTGATTCTCCTGAAATACTTTTGGGAGATTTTTAACTCCTAATTTTGTACGGGCAGCGCTGTTAGGCTACTCTTTTAGATTTTTAACTGTCAAGGGATTTTTTAAAGTGCGAAACAATACAAACGGGCATCCGATCTTACTACACGGAGACCAGAAAAAATTACTAGAAGTCCATGGGAAAATTTTTTTAGCCTTCACTGGGGCCTGAACCCGGGGCCTCCAGCACTCTAGTCGGACACCATGCCTCGCAACCACTCAGCCCTCCCGAAACATGGTCAGTCTATCAGTACATGGTTAGTCTTTCCATGAATGCGTGGTCAGTCTATCAGTGCATTGTCACTTTTTTCATTAATGCGTGGTCAGTCTATCAGTGCACTGTCACTTTTTCCATTAATGCGTGGTCAGTCTATCAGTGCATTGTCACTCTTTCCATGAATGCGTGGTCAGTCTACCAGTGCACTGTCACTCTTTCTAAGAATGTGTTGTCAGTCTATCAGTGCACTGTCACTTTTTCCATTAATGCGTGGTCAGTCTATCAGTGCATTGTCACTCTTTCCATCAATGTTTGGCCAGTCTATCAGTGCATTGTCACTCTTTCCATGAATGCGTGGTCAGTCTATCAGTGCACTGTCACTTTTTCCATTAATGCGTGGTCAGTATATCAGTGCACTGTCACTTTTTCCATTAATGCGTGGTCAGTCTATCAGTGCATTGTCACTCTTTCCATGAATGCGTGGTCAGTCTACCAGTGCACTGTCACTCTTTCTAAGAATGTGTGGTCAGTCTATCAGTGCACTGTCACTTTTTCCATTAATGCGTGGTCAGTCTATCAGTGCATTGTCACTCTTTCCATGAATGCGTGGTCAGTCTACCAGTGCACTGTCACTCTTTCCATGAATACGTGGTGAGTCTTTCAGTGCACTGTCACTCTTTCCATGAATGCGTGGTTATTCTATCAGTACACCGTCACTCTTTCCATGAATGCGTGGTGAGTCTATCAGCGCATGGTTAGTCTTTCCATGAGTGCGTGGTCTCTCGATAAATGTGTGGCTAGAGGGTATTTGAGCGAGTTGTCGATTTACCCTAAAGCGATTTGTCAGTTTTTCCGCGAGTAAGTGGTCGTTCTACATTCTAGGCTGAATGCTAAGTTTTTAATTATTGTAAAAGATCTTACAAGTTAAAAAAAAAATGACAATTATGTTTGGTTTATTTAAAATATTTTTTTAATATATTCTATATTATAATTTAATGATGTTAAATAGTTGTTCTTTAATAACGTATGCCAATTTGAGTTTACTTTCATTTGCTGTCTCTATAAAGGGTAGTATTATTTCCGAGTTTACTTTCATTTGTTGTCTACATAACTGTAATTTATATTTACGAGTTTACATAACTCGAATGTTGCCTGCGTAAGTGTAATATACCTTTCTGAGTTTACTTTCATATGATGTTCACATAACTGTAGTGTATCTTTCTGAGTTTACTTTCATATGATGTTCACATAACTGTAATATACCTTTCTGAGTTTACTTTCATATGATGTTCACATAACTGTAGTGTATCTTTCTGAGTTTAATTTTATGTTCTCTGCATAAGAGCAATTTACATGTCTTACTTTACTTTCATATGTTGTCTACATAACTGTAATATATCTTTCTGATTTTAATGTTATAAGTTGTCTACATAAGTGTAATCTATCTTTGGGAGTTACTTTCACATGTGGTCAACAAAAGTATAATATGTCTTTGGGAGTTTACAGTCATATGTGGTCTACATAAAAATAGTAATATGTCTTTAGGATTACTTTCATATGTTCCCTACATTAGTGTTAAATATCTTTCTAGGCTTACTTTCGTATGTTTTCCACATAAGTGTAATATATATTTCTGGGCTTACTTTCATATTTTGTTCACATAAGTGTAATATATCTTTCTGGGCTTACTTTCATTTGTTGTCCACATAAGTGTAATATATCTTTCTGGGCTTACTTTCATATGTTGTCCACATAAGTGTAATATATCTTTCTGTGCTTACTTTCATATGTTGTCCACATAAGTGTAATATATCTTTCTGGGCTTACTTTCATATGTTGTCCACAAAAGTGTAATATATCTTTCTGTGCTTACTTTCATATGTTGTCCACATAAGTGTAATATATCTTTCTGGGCTTACTTTCATATGTTGTCCACATAAGTGTAATATATCTTTCTGGGCTTACTTTCATAAGTTGTCCACAAAAGTGTAATATATTTTTCTGTGCTTACTTTCATATCTTGTCCACATAAGTGTAATATATCTTCCTGAGTTTACTTTCATATATTGTCCACATAAGTGTAATATATCTTTCTGGGCTTACTTTCATATGTTGTCCACATAAGTGTAAAATATCTTTCTGGGCTTACTTTCATATGTTGTCCACATAGGTGTAATATATCTTTCTGATATTGCCTACATAAATGTAGTAAATATTCCAGAGTATACTTTCATATGTTGTCTACATAAGTAATATATCTTTCTGAGTTTAATGTCATGTTATCTCTAGAACTGCAACGATAGTATTTGAATTGACAGACATGTCTTATCGAGATAAGTATGCCATCAGTAAAGACAAGACCATGCTTACGCTTGTCGGGCATGGGACATTTAGGCCTTGCTCTCTAGCGTAGTTGGCTAAAATAATATACGCGGTGACCGGGTGACGAACTCCTTGTGGTCTGGGTTCACTCCCGGGAGTAGGCAGAAAAGCCACATTTTCTCCCAGATTTGTGGTATCTATCATGGAATCAAGGCCGAAGGGTTGCGATATCCATAGTACCGAGCCAAAGGGTTACCAACTCATGGCTTCTGGATTTTTAAAAAAAATCTGGCATTTGGAACTGGACGCAGCTTGCTCCCATAACAACCCTCTGAAAAACCCGATCACAAGCAAGATGTCCCGCGTCAGAAACACCAATCTGGAGATCATCCGCCATATTCTGCACAAATCTTCTCTTTGGCCTCCCTCTTCCTCTCTTCCCAGGCATATACCTCTTCCTTTATTGTTTTCTCCAAACTTATTATGTTTTCTTTCATGGCTGTTATGGCTGCTTAGCAAGTTTTGCTGAAGGTAGTTTGCCATTGTCCTCCTGTGTGCAGTTTAGTAACGCCAAAAAAGGACCAGGTGTAAATATTTATAGACCAATCGAGACTTGCAGGATTATGTGGTGAACTTCAAACTGGTCGATTTTATTTTCCATGACCTTTCCTCTACCCAGTTTAGGCTGGCACGATCCGGGAGCCAAGTTAAATTTTGAGAAAACATGTTTTGGTGCGGTTTTGAACTATTAGCCTTCGGGTTGGCATTTAACATTACAGTGTGTGTCTATTTATTTCTTTCTTTAGTAAATAGCACAGTATGTGTGTCCACAGGCAAACCAGGTCTCCAGGATACACTTTCCTCCAGCGTCAAACAGCACAGCCTCCACCACCTCCATCACCTCCACCACCAGGGGCTACCGGGAGGTTCGGTCACGGGACAGCAACAGATGTTTGGGATGAAAGACAGGTATGCATGCAAATGTGTCTATTCTCAGCAATGCTAGCGCGCTGGCTTGTTAATCTCATGATGAGCTCCATACAGCACCAGCTCGCTGGCTTGTTAATCTCATGATGAACTCCATACAGCACCAGCGCGCTGGCTTGTTAGTCTCATTGTGATTTCTATAAGGCACCAGCGCGCTGGCTTGTTAATCTCATGATGAACTCCATACAGCACCAGCGCGCTGACTTGTTAGTCTTATGATGAACTCCATTCAGCACTAGCGCGCTGGCTTGTTAATCTCATGATGAACTCCATTCAGCACCAGCGCGCTGACTTGTTAGTCTTAAGATAAACTCCATTCAGCACTAGCGCGCTGGCTTGTTAATCTTATGATGAACTCCATACAGCACCAGCGCACTGGCTTGTTAGTCTCATGATGAACTCCATACAGCACCAGCGCGCTGGTTTGTTAATCTCATGATGAACTCCATACAGCACCAGCGCGCTGGCTTGTTAGTCTCATGATGAACTCCATACAGCACCAGCGCGCTGGCTTGGTAATCTCATGATAAACTCCGTATGACATAGCGTCACTCCTCTTTATTTGTTTAGAGGGCGGCATGTAATTACGCTTGTGTATGTCAGAATAATAGAGACAGTACATTATGTTTACTGTGTCCTGAATATATATATATATATATATATATATATATATATATATATATATATATATATATATATATATATATATATATATATATATAACAGATTACTACTGGTAACGACAGTTACAAGAAAAAAGAAGCTGTCGCTACATTGGACATATCCCGAGAAGAGATAAGCAATCACTAAAAAGGCATTACAATGGGAAATAAATGGATTAAGGAGGCGATTTCACCCCCCCCCCCCCACCCCCCGAAAAAAAAGACGCACACGAACGTCGATGAGAGAGGCCAAAGCTGCTGGACTGAATTCTATCCATGATACAGAAGGAATTGCACAGAATACTAACGGAATCGAGGAATAGACTGCTAGTCCTGTGTGATGTATAATGGCGCAACAGGCGCAACAGGACAACGAATGATGATGTTGAAAGAACATGCATTGAAGGCACTGGAACCTGCCCCCCCCCCACTCGCTCCCGTACACACACACACACACACACACACACACACACACACTAACATATTCGAAATGATATGGAACGTAAACTTATATTACATTATTAAACACCTTTTATGAACATATACCTTTTCTTAAACAGATACCTATTTATGAACACATACCTATATATGAACACATACCTAAATATGAACACATACATATATATGAACACATACATATGTATGAACACACACCTATAAATGAACACATACCTATGTATGAACACATACATAAGTATGAACACACACTAATAAATGAACACATACCTTATTATGAATACATACCTATATATGAACACACCTATATATGAACACATACCTTTATATTAACACACACCTATATAAATTAACACATACCTATAAATTAACACATACATATATATTCACACATGCTTATAAATTACCACATAACTATATACTCACCTGTCGGCTCTGTGGCTAAGTCGAACGCTTCGTAATGCCGGGATGCCGGGTTCGATCCCAACTGCGTGCCATGCGTCTTGGGTTGGTTTCGACAGTGATATCAAGAAAGCCGACCCTCCAGAAGGCAATGGCAAACTACTGGACGTAAATTTGCCTAGATAACCACACAACAGCCAGGGTTGGTTCTGCAACGTCCTGTAAAGGAGACGCAACTAGCCTGCATATATCACGTATACCTATAAATAAACATATACTTATAAATTAACACATACCTAAATATTCACGTATACCCATAAATTAACACATCCCTATATATTCACGTATACCTATAAATGAACACATACTTATAAATGAACACATACATCCCTATATATTACAAAACACCTATGTTATTTTAAAGCAATGTATCCCTGTTGTGAATTTGACTAAATACGACGTAAACAATCGATTGCACAAGCAGTAAACAAGTAGTCGCACTTCCGACATCAGAAGTTTAAGGTTTTAACAACGGATCAGTATAATGGCCCACGGGTAGAAACCCACAAGTGTTTTTCTTGTAACTCTAGTCTTGAGTCTGAAGAAGCTCAGCACGGTGCACAGGCTCTGTAGCACCGGTGAGGATCCTGAAATACTTTGGGTAGATTGTTAACTCTAAATTTTGCCCGGTTTGCGCTGTCAGAATACTCTTTTCGATTTCCAACTGCCAAGGGATTTTTTACGCGCGCAACACTGCACACGGGCATCCGATCTCACTACCCAGAGACCAGGGGAGGGGGGGGGGGAATTTCAGCCCTTACAAGGGATTAAACCCGGGATCTCTTGCACTCGAGGCAGACACCATGCCTCGAGACCACGCAGCCCACTTTCCGACATCAGAACAAACGGGTTGCTTTGTTTCTATGCCAACGATAACCACACAGAGTACCTTTCACTGGTCCTTGTCAAATAATATACACACCTACTTAGTTTCGGCAAAACCAATAGTAACCACACGCATTAAAAGTCCAAGGCATCCGTCGGATATGCCAACACAAACAGTCCCTCATTCGAAAGTCAGCTCGTCATCGATGAAAGCAGTGGTTACAATTAGGTTATTATTAAGTTGTCTGAATGTTTGTTCTTCAGTTGCTTCCTCTTCTTCTTGTCTTCCAGAACTTATCCAGGCGACGACATCATCATGAAGCGGCTGGTTGGATCCCATGATGACCTTAACGACATGTCTCCATTGCGACCCCTGGCCAACCTTCACGAGCACATGGTCAAAGTCTTTCCCGAGTCGTCTGCAGAATTTGGCCACGTGGGTCTCTCCAGCAAATACGGAGCCAATCTTACCAGTTCTGCCTCTGACGACGATGTTAGCAGCACGCAAGACAGGAATTCTCTCAACTTGGAAAGCATCAAAGATTACGGTAATCTATCGCAGGATTGTACACACGGATCACAGTTCCCTTCATCAGCTTTTTATGCCAGGCTGTACAACAGTGATACAGACCCGACATATCTGTCGCATTTCAAGTTTTACCCCTCGTTTAGCAGCTCGCAAAATGTACCTAATGAGAAAGAGTATGAAAAACATTTTCTTTCTCACAACGACCACACGACGTCAACAAATTACAAAACCCAGATGAGGGTTGATGACATAGCGGTTTCTAACGAATCTCCCCTGAGCCACATTAAGCCATACTCCTGCTTTGAGCGATGCGAGCCAGCATGTAAAGACACGGAACGACTAAAACATATTACCAACAACAACAATGTTAACAACAACAACAACAGCAGTTGCAGCAACAACAACAATTCTGGGAGCAGCAATAAGTCCCGACATGAAGCCAGCGAGGAGAGACACTGCAGTCTGAACAAATCCGAGAGTACTGTCATCCCCAAGCAAGAACACACAAACGAGACGTCGACCAAAGTTGTGAAGAACATGAAAGTGGAGCCTGATCTGCCCGGGAAAGCGCAGACAAACTCGGACTCCGCGTCACAGCCCCCAAATTCGCCCCCAGAACGGAAATCCATTACACCAAACAACAAAGACAACCCTGAATCTTTCAAAGATCCCAACATCAAACCCCCATATTCCTACGTGGCTCTCATCGCTATGGCCATCAAAGAATCGACAGAGAAGAGGCTGACTTTGAGTGGCATCTACCAGTTCATCATTGGCCGGTTTCCATACTACGAGAAAAATAAGAAAGGTTGGCAAAACTCCATTCGCCACAACCTGAGCCTCAACGAGTGTTTTGTGAAAGTGGCCAGAGAAGGTGGCGGAGAGAGAAAGGGCAACTTCTGGACTCTAGATCCAGCATTCGAGGATATGTTCGAAAAGGGAAATTACCGTCGACGACGAAGGATGAAACGCCCCTACAGACCGACACTGTCGCTTCACAAACCGCTGTTTGCCGACCCTGCCCACGCACTCAACCAGTTTACCTTCAACAATTACTTCAATACCCCTTCCTACACCCAGTACTCGGGGTATGCCCCTTGGGCTTTGACCCACAACGCCGGAGCTTCCAACATGAGTATGGCACAACTACCGAGTTACCGTTCCTGCCAAAGAGTTTCTGCCCATTCGGCTCTAAATGGGCTGCATCAGTACTCCGGCATGGGGGTAGGTATGGGGATGGGCGTGGGGCTAGGCACCCCAGCCCCTCAGATGCCCTCTAGTATGCCATCGCCATCGAATTACACCTCGCCGTACCCTCAGTTTCCGGACTATGGTGCTGTAGGCAGCGGATCGTCGTTCAGCTTTCAGTGCAGGCAACAAGGTGAGGCCTTCAACTCGTCTCATTATAACAGTTACTGGGCAGATAGGTGAAATCTACTCGTCGAGTAGGTGAAATCTACTATGGCAGATAGGTGAAATCTACTCGTCGAGTAGGTGAAATCTACTATGGCAGATAGGTGAAATCTACTATGGCAGATAGGTGAAATCTACTCGTCGAGTAGGTGAAATCTACTATGGCAGATAGGTGAAATCTTCTATGGCAGATAGGTGAAATCTACTATGGCAGATAGGTGAAATCTACTATGGCAGATAGGTGAAATCTACTATGGCAGATAGGTGAAATCTACTATGGCAGATAGGTGAAATCTACTCGTCGAGTAGGTGAAATCTACTATGGCAGATAGGTGAAATCTACTGGGGCAGATAAGTGAACAGGCGAACTGTACTGGAGGGGGGAAAGAGAGGTGAATTCTGCTAGTGGAGATATGTGAACAGATGAATTATACTAGTGGAAATGGTTGAATTCTGCTGGTGGAGATATGTGAACAGATGAATTGTACTAGTGGAAATGGTTGAATTCTGCTGGTGCAGCCACGCGAACAGGGTAAATGTACTGTTGGAAATAGGTAATTTCTGGTGGTGGAGATAAACAGGTGATATGTACTGGTGAAAATATGTGAAAGCTACTAGTGGAGTTGTGCTAAATCTTCTGTGTGAGATATAATCTGTAGTAGTGAACTGCGCTGGTAGAACAATATGGGAACACCGCTATGTGAGATAAATGAACCCTTCTAAAGAAGGAGATGAACTCTACTGGTGAAGAAAAGTGAGCTCTAATGGGAAGTCTGTTGAACTCTGGTGGGGTATTAAATTACTATCAACAGACAAATGGGTCAACTCTGCTCCAATATTGCTGAACTCATCGTCCTTATGTGCCCTGCCAAGTGGAGTAGGCGCTCATGCGTCTCCACAGATCACGATACCTGATTGCCTGGAACAGCTCTCTTGATGATATCCCTGATTGCTGACTGCTGAACTACAATGAGAATTTAGATGGACTGCGGAGGAGATAAAGTGAATTCTAATGGAGAAACCCAAAAATTAACTGTATCGGGGAGAAATGTGAACTTTACCTCCGAAGCGAGTAAATTTATGATTAGCTAAAGTGAATGTTTATGTTTATGCTTATGTTTATTCAACGGATCAATATCATGGCACACGGGTGTAACCCATAAGTGCTCCGTTCTTCTTCTAACTCAAGCCTGAGTCTGAAAGTTCTCAGCGCATTGCACGAACTCTGTTGCTCCGGCGAGGATCCTGAAATACTTTGGGTAGATTTTCAACTCTCCACTGAAGAGGTATATAGGCACTACTGGGGAGACGAGAGGGTATACTAATAGAGAACTGAACACAAATGTTGATAACAACGGTCATGAAATGCCATGCTTTAACTGTGTAAGACTTTTCCTAACGCGGGCGGGACTTGCTAGTCACACTCGCCATCGCCATGGACTGTGAGTCCCTTGCCTCTTTATAGAGCAAAATAACACTATCACCTGGAAAGACGGAGAGGTGCCAATTTAATGCAGAACTATCTGAACTATTCTGCTTAGAAGACAGTTCAACTCTGTTGATGGTAACTTCTGCGTGGGACGTGTGATCTCTTTTGAGAAGGGAATAATTTTGGAGACAGGTAAATGTTTCAGAGAGGAGAATGGAGTCTCTAGGGATAAAAATTTAGCTCTCTTTGAAATGAGGATGAACTCTATCTAATGATCTACTAGGAACACTGTTTGACTCTGTGAGAACAGATGGAATCGTTCTTTGATATCAGGATGAACTCTGTCAACTGAGAACATTGTTTGACTCTGGGAGAACAGATGGAATCTTTCTTTGATATCAGGATGAACTCTGTCTACTGGTCTACTAGGAACACTGCTTCACTCTGGGAGAACAGACGGAATCTATCTTTGATATCAGGATGAACTCTGTCTACTGAGAACACTGTTTGACTCTGGGAGAACAGATAGCGTCTATCGGGGAGGGGTTGGTAAATTATTGAAGAGGTCCTTCCCCACGCATCAGATCAACTTCACTCCCCCCCCCCCCCCCCGTGAAGGTTTTGCGTGAGGTGCCAAAGTAAAGAAATAATCATGGTAAAATATATAATGTATACACACTGGCACACTGGCCAATGGAAACGCCAGATTTTATATTTTAAGATTTATTATATCAATAGGGTCTCCATCTGTGATGTGGGTGATATCACTCCTGTCCCCTTTACTTCCACTTATATTTCACAATACCCACTTTTCCTTGGGTGGACATGGCAACAATGTCATATTTTATTTAAAAATCTCCGCTGTTGTGTTGGAACCCCTAATTTGTTGCCTGTTACGACATATTTGTACATGGGCAATAGACCTATCCTCAGACTGGGACTCCATAATCAACACGGGAGGTTCTTTTGTTTTATGAGTACACCGGGGTGAAAGGGCCCGCTAGCTACCCAATCTCCCACTGCATCTACTACAATTCTGTTACTTTTTTTTTTTTTAGTTCCTTTTCTTTTTCCTTTTTGGTGTGAATAGTTACTGCTTGTGTAAGAGATTTTATGTTTTATTAAATTTAATTGTTTTTTTTTAAAGTCGAAAACATTACTGCTGGACTGTGCCTTCTGCATTTTGAAAGTTATAGTTGTGTGTAAATTATTTCAGAATTGCTTGAATACACTTTCGGTTTTTGGAAACTTCTTTACCTGTGCAGTATTGTAATTGAGTGTTTGTCCTCGAGCGTGTTCCGGGGCTTCACTGTGGGGCAAAAGGAAGTGTGGCCCGGAGGGGGGGGGGGGAGTTTCCTTCGAAGTCAGAGTCTGCTCTGGAGGCGAGAAGCCAACAGTCTGCATGCAAAAAGGACATATCTGTAAAACGGATGTGCACTCAAAACTCTAGTTCTATATCGAGACCAAAGTCTAGAAATGGACGAACAACTAGAACTTGGAGCCAGAGTTTATAGCTGTTTAACGCTAAGATGACACGCATACAAACACACACTTGCACACACATACGCACACTCACACTCAGAGACAGAAACAGAGAGAGACAGTACACGTCTGCTCACTGACTGGCCGCGACAGGAATACGTATGTAAGCGAGCAATTACACGTGTATCTGTCTGAGCTAATACCCCGGGACATGTAATTTGCATCGGTCTGGGAGAGGCCGCCACTAGATTACCTCGCCACCCATCGAGACATTAGTGCCACAGCAAGGTGAACCCCGGCACAGGGCTCGGTGCTTTCCCCGGGAAACTCCACCGGGGAAACCCGATCTGCCAGTGCTGTTCCCGTGTTACTAATCTTGGTGTCTCTGTGCTCGCGGGTGCTTCCCTTGTTTTGTCATGCATTGTTTTTGTATTTTCATTGAATGGTTTTTCTAGGCTCTTTTCTTCCACTACTGGTTTGTCCATACGATGTTTTTCTGGTTAGGTGATATTTGCTAAGATGTCACAGTTGTGTTTTAAGCTCGGTCGGGCTGGAGCTTTTTCATGCTTCAGTGGGACGAGGTTTTAGGTATCATCCGCTATCGTGAACATCATCATCAGGAAAACTACCCCTACCCCAACCCCCCTCCGCTCGTCCCCTCGAACAAGCATGTCGTGAAAGACGATTATTTGGGGGAGTTTGCTTTGAAATCGAAGTGCATCTGCTTGAGAAGTTAGGAGACAACAAGCTGCCTACAGATAAGCCAGATCTCAGAAACTCTAATTCTGGAACAAGACCAAAGTGGATAAGTGGACAAACAGCCAAAACTTTTCTCAGGAGTTTAGAACTGGTGAAGGCGAAGAAGAAGACGAAGATTATCGTTATGACTTTCCATCACTATCATCATCATCATTATTGTACCTTCAGTGTAAGCATCATTATTTTCTTCTTCTTCTTCTTCTTCTTCTTCTTCTTCTTATTCTTCTTCTTCTTCTTCTTCTTCTTCTTCTTCTTCTTCTTCTTCTTCTTCTTCTTCTTCTTCTTCTTCTTCTTCTTCTTCTTCTTCTTCTTCTTCTTCTTCTTCTTCTTCTTCTTCTTCTTCTTCTTCTTCTTCTTCTTCTTCTTCTTCTTCTTCTTCTTCTTCTTCTTCTTCTTCTTCTTCTTCTTCTTCTTCTTCTTCTTCTTCTTTTTTCTTTTTTCTTCTGTTTAGCGTTTACTTGCTATAAACTTCAGCGAAACTTTCCGTTTGTGTCCGCTTTAGCACGGTGTTCGTTCTCCAGAACTTGAATTGTTTGCATGCACATCCGTTTTACAGATTTGTCTTACTGGTATGCAGACTGTTGTTTCGTCGTCTGTCAGGGAACATGAACTCTAAATTCGATGGAAGTGAATCTAATTAGGCACCTCCTGCGACATGCTTGCTCGGGGTTGAGGGAGGGGGAGTCTATTCTTTGTTCCCCTAAAACAGACCCCTAGCAATCTTCGCAGGGAGCATCATTAATGCTATCATCCTCATTATCATCGTCACCATCATCGTCACCATCATCGTCACCATCATCGTCACCATCATCGTCACCATCATCGTCACCATCATCGTCACCATCATCGTCATCACAATCGTCCCCACCAACACTACATCACCACCATCGTCACCACCAACACTACATCAACACCATCTTCACCACCAACACTACATCCCCACCATCTTCACCACCAACACTACATCACCACCATCTTCACCACCAACACTACATCACCACCAACGTCACCACTAACACTACATCAACACCATCTTCACCACCAACACTACATCCCCACCATCTTCACCACCAACACTACATCACCACCAACACTACATCACCACCAACACTACATCACCACCAACACTACATCAACACCATCTTCACCACCAACACTACATCCCCACCATCTTCACCACCAACACTACATCCCCACCATCTTCACCACCAACACTACATCCCCACCATCTTCACCACCAACACTACATCACCACCAACACTACATCACCACCATCTTCACCACCAACACTACATCACCACCATCTTCACCACCAACATTACATCACCACCATCTTCACCACCAACAC